TTGCTTATTTGCTGTATTAGGCAATCAGTTTTTACAAGAAAGCTGATTGCCTAATACAGCAACTTTAATTAATTAATAGTCATTTCTTGTAAAAACACAGTTTTTGCTCTTTTGGTCTCACTTGAATTTTTGTGTTTCTATATCTGGTTTACGGGAACTGAACATCCTAGGGCAGTGATGTCCCAGAACCACATGCCAGTACTGAACTGTTCTATTCTTAGGTTGCTGTTGTCTGAAAATGATGTACTGTACACCCATTTTGATATACAGAAGTCAAACTAACACCACTGGTTTCATAAGGAACTTGATACCAGTGACTAGTTTTGTGGGATGCTCCTCCCCACCGCCCTTTTAAGAGGCCTCTTTATTCTGTGGCAGCCAAAATGGTTGAGCTGTGTGGCGTGGTGACCTCCCTTCCTTTTGCGCCGTCCTCTATTTGAAAATTTGCACGGCAACCCTCCCTTTGAAGGGGACTGCCATTATCCAAGACTGATTTGATGGGGGGGGTACCCAAAATGAGGGCGATCAGGTGTCATGAAGTTGCCTCTCTACCATCAACTCCTGACACAGGGTCACTTCATCACAATCTCCAGAAAGATACATTGTAAGTCTGCTAAAATTATTTTTTTTAAAAAATCATTTCTCATTTTGCCTCTGTACATATAAAGGCCACACAATCAGTGCTGTCTTGGGTGACGCACAGATACCTAAGAACCAACTGATCTTCTGGAGCAAGTGTATCTCTGGTATGACCTCTTAATTAGCAAATCTATTTGGGGGAACTGGATCTCATCTCTGCAGGATCTCTGTGTAGTTATCTAGGAAAAACGGGATGTCCAGGCTCCAGAAACTGGCAAGTATGCACCATGTTAAGAGATGTGAGATAGCCCTAAAGGCCCATTGCCTTTGCTGTCAGGTTTGAAGGGAGGCCTTCATCTTGCCGTTCTCCCCATGCCATCCCACTCTTGTATAGGCCACTCTTTCCATCTTTATATTTACGGAGTCATTTTCTTTCAAAACATGCACGCCCTGCCTTGTCTCTGTTCACGGCTGCTTATGACAATGTCAATAATGTAAGCATTACAAACATCTTTTGCGTTTACAACATAAACAGTAGGCATTAAAACTCCCCCACTGCCGCAGCAAGTAAGAGCAGAGGACCACAGAACAACAGCTTGTGTGTAGATACTAGTTCATGATGATTCGTTGTTGCGTTTCTGCTGTAGAAGCGGGGGGGGGGGAGGAGGCTCTTGGGATCTCCAGGTGTTGACACAATTTGAATTGCTGTGGGTTTCGTGCCCCAGGGCTTGTGGGGAGTTGGTTGGCCAGGTCAGCAGCATCTTGTTCAGTGGTGGGATTCAAATACATTAACAACGGTTGGCCAGGTCAGCAGCATCTTGTTGTTGGAAGGGTGGGTCCTTGAGATGTCAAAGTAGCACCCTTCCATCCAGAGGTGTGAAGGTTAAACCTTGCGGCTTGTGTGTCAGCACCATCTTGCATGATCTGAGGAGTGAGCTGAAAAGGTTGTGGTTTTACAGATACAACAGGACCAATGAATAAGCACCCATCTCCTTAGCCTCATGCAGTCACTGAAGCAGGCTTCTTGGATTGTCTGCAGATCTTCCCATTGTACATTCTTGCTTGAGTGATGATCTTTTTCAAAATAAAACCTACACATACATACTGGATTTGGAGAAGTGCTTCTGAGGGACCGTGCCTCAGGTCAAAGAGATGGACAGGCAGGTGTTTTCAGGACTCTTCAGGAAACTCTGAAGGCTTTAGCCATGGATAGTGGCAGAAAACAGGCAAATGATTTCCTGAACAGATCCCCACCCCAATTGATCAGCAAGCAATTTAAAGTATGCTGCTCAAGCTCATAGTCGGATGACGGCCTTTTTAGCAGAATGGCTACTTCGATGGTTCATGGTGGAAATCTTGAAGAGTCCCGTGCTCCATTTCTGTTGGGGAAATCGCCTTTTCGGTATACCATACAGGGCAGTGGTTCTCAAACTGGGGTCCCCAGATGTTCTTGGCCTGCAACTCCCAGAAATCCTGGACAGTGGTGAAGGTTTCTGGGAACTGCCGTCCAAGAACATCTGGGGACCTCAGTTTGAGAACCACTGATATAGGGCACACCATGTTTACCTCTTTCATTTAAGCAATTTTCTGTGTTCTATGGGCTCTTTTTCCCCCATTTCCTTTCCCCAGAATTTCTTTTCTGAGTTTCAAAAATAACAACGACAAAATAGTAATTGGAAGCTGACTACGTAAATCAGAGCTACGGTACTAATGATAATTTGGGAACTGCGAAAAGTAGTTGACATGACACCACTTTTGTTTGATAACAGCGAGAAGCTGGATTTCAGTGATCTATAGTGTATTAATTGGGCAATTTATGGCCCTCCTGAAAATAGATTTGATTGGACTTCAACTCCCACCTGCACCAGTCAGCATAACCAGCAAGCCTGAGGAGATAGAGGAGCTGCATTCTGGTAACATTGGAGGGTGACAAGATGCAACCTATGAATTAAGGAGAGAGAGAGACCAGTATCTTCTTCATGAAGGTATTATGCATGGCAACAAGAAGCTGCAACAGTTGTGCAATCTGTCTCATTGTTCCTGGCATGACCGATGGTGCAATGTGCCGCCAGAGGTGCTTCAGAAACAGCACTTCTGCCTCAGTGCGAGTACGATTGCTACGTGCACAGCCTCAAGTTGTATGCTCACAGTAACACAACACCGGTGAATGAAACATATATGCATATACATTATACTGTATGCTACATACCACAGGGTGCATTGTATTGTTAGAACTTAGAAAAGAAATTGTGGGGAACCACACAGAAAATTACAGACAAGTAGCAAAGAACTGTAGGGATGCCATTAGGAAGGCAAAAGCTGAGGATGAGCTGAGGTTAGCAAGAGATGCGAAAAGCAACAAAAAAAGCATTTTTCAGGTATGTGTGTAGCAAAAGAGAACAGAAACAGTGCCTCAGCTACTTAATGGTGATGGGAAAATGATAACGGATGACAAAGAATACCTCAGCTCAGTCTGTTCCCCAAAGGACAGTCTATTAACTTCCAGGCAAATGGGGAGTACGAAGGGATGGGATGGGATTAAAGTTTGATATTTATAAATTAAAACAGTCAGGAAATGCCATATATGAATATGAATACCCCCGGACAGGTACAATAATGAGGGTTATTGCCACCTGTGTGGGGGTATATCTTGTTGCCGCTCACAATTCCACTGCTGCCGCAGCCTCCACGGAGCCTCCCAATGTCTCCAGAGATTGCTATTGGCTCACCACTCCTGGCAGGAGGCGGGACGACAAGTCTCTCTGCCAGGCTGAAGAGCGGCATTGGAAGGCTCCATAGGGGTCGCGGCAGTGGTGGAATTGTGAGTGGACTGTCCTGCCCCATGGGGCTGGACCCTCGTTATCACCGCCTGTGCAAAGGTATTCATATTCATATACAAATATGAATACCCCATCTCATTACTTTGAACAAGTTCAGATCCCCAGGGCCATATGAACTGCATCTAAGAGTATTGCGGGAATTGGCTGAAGAACTCCGAAAATCGCTGTCTGTTATTTTCTTGAAATCATGGAGAATGGAGGAACTGCCAGATGACTGGAAGAGGGCTAATGTTATCGCTGTCTTCAAAAAGGGCAAAAATGAGGAACCTGGGAACTCCATACCAGCCAGCCTGACATCACTCCCAGGGAAAACTCTGAAACAAATTACTCTGGAAGCACTTTGAAAACACTGCAATAATAACCAGAAGCCAACATGGATTTGTAGAGAACAAATCCTTCCAGTCTAATCTTATCTCAGTTTTTTATCAGATAACCTCCCTGGTAGACAGCGGGAATGCTGTAGATGTATTATACCTTGACTTCAGCAAAGCCTTTGACAATGTGCCCCGTGATATTCTGATTAGCAAGCTAACTAGGCGTGGGCTGGATAGAACAACATCAGATGGATACACAGTTGATTACAGCAGCGGTCCTCAACCTTTTTGAGATCGTGGACTGGCCGAGCCTGTGAGGAAAGTGGGGCACCCCCCGTGCTTGCATAGGCACATCTATGCTCTTGGGCACATGTGCGAAGTGGTGGGGTGAGCACCCCCCACCTCTTCGTGCATGTGCAGGAGCGCCTGCCTGCATGCATGCCCATCTCTTCGCATGGGCACTCGGGCGCATGCGTGAAGGGGTGGGGGAGCACTCACGCCTGCACTGGCATGCACATGTGCAAAGCAGCTGTGGGGAGGG